TTGAAAGAGGCTTCTTATCCATCCCTCATCCTTTTATGGAGCCAGATTGGGGGCAAGATATATAGGCTCATTTATGGAGCCAGGGTTGGTAGTGGCCGCCCGAGTGCCAGGTAGAAGGAAAGAGTGCCGTGATCGCTTAGTGATCCTTGTGGGCAGGAAGGCAGACGGGATGAGTGTACTGTTTATGCACCATGCCCTGTCCAGGCCCTTCCTCCAACTTCTGGCTGCCTCCATTCTCCTCACAACACTTCCCACGGGATCACTTGTCTTGGAGCCAAAGCTCTCCCCAGGGTGCCGGCCTGTACCACAAGGGACCAAACCAGTCTTATTAATGGATGGAGGAGTGGCTCCTCAGCCTGGAGCCCAAGCCCCTTCCCAGTGAAGAGCTAACCACGTCTTACTCTTGTCTCCCAGTCCTTCGGCCATGCTGTTCCCTCTGCCTGTGTTGCCTTGCCCTGGCCTCCGAGGCCAGCCAACCTTGTTCTTCCTGAATCCTTCTAGCTCCTTCTCTGTGAGAACTCACCTTAGAGTTGTTCAAGTCAATGGAACAAACCTTCCCCTAGGGACTGGGTCTCCTGATCCATCCCCTGTTTCCTCCAACTTTGAACACAGCAGCTCCACGTAAGGTGTTTGCCCAACAGAGATGTGTGCACCAAGAGGAAAGTGAAAGACATAGCCAGACTCATCAAAAGTGAGTCCTGCGCTGGGCACCACTGGTGGCTCACGCCTGTAATCCTAGCTACTCAGGAGGCTGAGCTCTAAAGATCACAGTTCAAAGCCAGAAGTGGAGCTGTTGCTTAAGTGGTATAGTATTAGCCTTGAGTGGTAGGGTGGTGGGGTGGGGTGGTAGGTGGGTGGGAGACGACAAAAAAAACCACAAAACGCGCGCGCGCGCACACACACACACACACACACACACAGCGAAGACACTGGTGACTCACACTTGTGATCCTAGCTACCCAGAAGGTTGAATCTGAGGATCACGGTTCAAAGCCAGCTGGGTAGGAAAGTCCACAAGACTCTTATCTCTAATAAGCTGTGCAGAAAAAGCTAGAAGTGTTGCAGTGGCTCAAGTGGTAGAGCGCTAGCCTTGAGCACAAAGAGGCCCAGGGACAGTGCCCAGGCCTGGAGTTCAAACCCCAGGACTGGCAAAAACAAAAAGAGCTGGGCCACACACCACTGGTGGCTCAAGCCTATAAGCCCAGCTACTCCGAGGCTGTGATCGGAGGATTGTGTATGGTCAGGAAAGCCCAGAAGATTCTTACCTCCAATGAACCACCGAAAAGCTCCACCAGAAGTAGAGCTGTGGCTCAAGAGGTAGAGTAGTAGCTTTGAGCATGAAAGCGCAGGGATACTGCCTAGGTCCTAACCAATTAAAAGCAAAAAAGTTCCGGCCTATGACTGTGCTGGGATCTGTCTCAGTGGAGACAGATGGGGTGGAGACCCAGCACCTTGGGGATAGCCTCGGGCAGGAGCAGGGAGGGGAGCAGGGAGGGTCAAACAACAGGTGCCTGATGGTGGTGGTGGGCTAATGGTTGGCCCTGGGGGTGGGGGTGGGGGGCACGGGGAGCCTGCTGGTGTCTTTGGTGCGGGATGAGCTGAGTCCTGCGCTGGCTGTGCTCCTGTTGGGAAGTTCTTCAGCTTCCAGAACTCCCCCTGGGCTCCTCACTGTGGGCTAGGTGGGAGTCAGGTCCAGTGACCTCTGTCATACCTGGGGAGCCCTATGAAGCGGTGGGCTGGGCTGGGCCTGGGGTTCAGGGTGCAGGCCTTCTCTACCCTTCTTCCTACAGAGCTCCGTCAAGGCGGGGCATCTTGCATTTGGGAATTTATTCAAGCTCCAAGAAAGCAGTTGTCATGGCAGATGGCCACCCTGAGATGACCGCACTGCCCCGTGAGCACTTCCTGCCCGTGCGTTTCTGGGTGTGTATATAATTGGGCTCATGTTTGTGAGGCTCAGAACTGCTGTGTTTGCAGAGCACCCCGACTCTAATTAGCTTAAAGAGGTCTTGTTTGAAGTAGCAGATCAGGAGACAGCAGCCCTGACCTCCAGGAGAGGTGGGGACCGCAGACGGGCTTGAACCTGCGGGTACTCCCTCCGTCCTCTCCCTCTCTCTCCCTGTCCCCCTCCCTCTTTCTCCCCCTCCCCCTCTCCCCCTCAGTGGCATATGTCACCTCTAGCGTTCAAGGCAGGAGAACAAACCCTGTCTGTTTTCTATTAAAAAACTTGTTTCCTCCCATCCCTCTGTGTGGGAGAAAGGGGTCATGGGACCCCGCAGCCTGACTGGAAGAGCACCTATCAGGGCCCTTCCTCGCCTCTTCGGCTGGGGGAGGAGAGAGGGGAGGAGAAGTGGGTGGGATTCACGTCAGTCAGTGGGTCCAGGGCCTGGCAGTGCCTCCACGGGCAGTGCCCATGAAGCTGTGGATGCCCTCTGAGGGGCTCTGAGGGGATGTCTCCTGCCTGCCCGCAGTGCATCTCCCTCCACAGCTCTGAGTGGGGTAACTCATGAGTGTTTTGGGGAGTCAAAGGCTCAGAATGGGACATGTTGGGCTTCATGGTCTCCCAACTCAGAAGAGACCAAGCTACCTGCATGCTGGGTCATCTGCATTTACATAGTCATTTGCATATGGACGTTCATTGCATGTAGGTCATTTGCATGTAGAACATCATTTGCGTGTAGGAGGTCATTTGCTTGCAGGAGGTCATTTGCTTGCAGGAGATCATTTGCATATAGGATCACCTGGGTGCAGGGAGCTACTCACATAGGGACTGTGACCACAGTCGAACTTGGACAAACTCCCAGGAGGCTATAGGGGCCAGGGCCAAGCCTAGGGAACACTAGCAACGTGGGAGGGGAGGAGAGGAATTGTCTGCAGACAGAATCCAGCGTGGACCGGAAAGTCTATGAGATTCTTATCGCCAATTAACCACCAAAAAGCTGGAAGTAGAGCTGTGGCTCAAGTGGTAGAGCATTCGCCTTGAGCACAAAAGCTCAGAGATGGCACCTGGGCCCTGAGTTCAAGTGCCAGGACTGACACACAAAAGAAGGGGTGGGCAGGGCATTCATTGGAGGGCTGGTGACCTAAGGGTTCCCGGTGTCGTAAGGAAAGTGGGGGTTCTGGGTGGGAGGAGCCATGATTGCTGGCCGGGGGCTCTACCTGATGACAGCTAGTTCTCTGCACTAGTCCAGATGTCGTTGTGGGGAGTGGCCTGATGGGTGGACTGGGGGGGCGGGGGGAGCTACTTCCTGGGGAGCAAGTGTGGAAATTCTCCCTGCGAGGGGAGGGGGCCATGGATACTCTAGGACTCAAGGCCTCTGGGGCCTCAGCCCCAGGAAAAAAGGCATCACAGCCATGAGTCATCCTGAACTGCTGTCCCCTTTCCAGGAGGCCCTAAAAACCTCCCAGGGAGCCCCACTGGCCACAGCCCGGTGAGAGCTGTGTGCCACTCCATGGGACGTAGGCGGCGCCCCAACCAGATGCCCCCTTGCGGGCTTCTAGAGCCTCCCCTCAGGAGCCCCGGTTTGGAACTGTGGAATGGGCAGGTGGATTAGAGCGCCATCAAACTCTCGGGGTGAGTAAGTGGACAGGCACTGCAGCGTGGAGGGACCCAAGGAGCCAGGGGCAGGATGCACGCCTCCACGTTCCCGAGTGGCTTCCGGAAGCGGGGCAGCCAGCCTGGGGGGTGGGGGGTGGGGCTGGCCCTGTTCTGCTGTGGGCCCTGTGGGGTCCTCTGAGGGAGGGAGTACAGGGGAGGGAGGGTGCTCAGGACTGCGGCCCTCCCCTCCCAGGGGCCCACGGGGTGGCACGGATTGGCCCGTGACAGGCATTGGCCCTGGCTGTCTGCTTGCTCCCTCACCTCGGGTTCCTGGGCACCTGACGGCCAAAGGATTGCCCTTGGAGCAGCTGCCACTCAGGAACTGTCCCTCCGCCTTCGCAGCCAACAAGTGCGCAGGGCGCTAGCAGCGTCCCTTCTTCCCACGCGGCCTTTGTCATGCTGTGTGAGGGATGAGCGGGCGAGCTGTCGCGGGAGGCGTGTGGATGCTTTCTGGGGAGTCTGTCTCTCTGTCCCCTGCTCCATGATGAGTGTCCTGGCATGCCAGCAGCTGTGGTCAGAGCTCACCTCCCCAAGGTCGTCCTAAGGCTGAGACCTTTTGTGCCCAGCCGGGTCGGCTGCGGGCCCCATGGCCTTGGGTTTTCCTCCTCCTCCTCCTTGGTGTCTGTGGTCTGTGACCGGGACCCCATATCTACTTTCATCCCATGTGGAAGGGACAAGGTGCGGGCCTGAGGTCATCTCCACAAGCCCCCAAGGCTTGGCCATTCTCCTATTTCAGGGCTGTAGTCTAAGGCTGTGGTTGCCATCTTGGTTACTCGTTAGAAATACGTGGGGGTGATTTGAAAGGGGCGACTTCTAACTCCTCTGCCCAGCTGTTGAGGGTCCTAGCCCAGGTGAGGTGAGATGCCTGAGGCCGGGTAGCTCCCGGCCCCCGGCTTCCAGCCCCCAGCCCCCGGCTCCCAGCCCCCAGTCCCCAGCCCCCAGTCCCCGGCCCCCGGCCCCCAGCCCCCGGCCCCCGGCTCCCAGCCCCCGGCCCCCGGCCCCCAGCTCCCGGCCCCCGGCCCCTGGCTCCCGGCCCCCAGCCTCCGGCCCCTGGCCCCCAGCTCCCAGCCCCCAGCCCCCAGTTCCCAGCCCTGAATGGGTAGAAGTCAGGCTTGAAATCTGCCCATCTCTCAGTGCTGCACTTGGAAATGAGCAGGCTCCGTGGGTTAGTCCCATGTACTTTACTGACCAGCCCATCCATTATTGTGGCCAAGACCCCCCCCCACTCTCTGAATGTTCAAGGCAACCTTGGGGTGCACCGTGACCCTGCAGTCTGACTGTGCGTGTTGTGTGGGGTTGCGCTTGTCACTAGGGGTCACTTGTGGGCAGGGCCTCACCCCGCTCTGGTCAGGAGCCTGGACTCTGACCAGGGGAGACAGGGAGACTAATGTCCCCTTTCTTGCAGTGGAACATGACAAGGAGTTCTTCCACCCGCGCTACCACCACCGGGAGTTCCGCTTCGATCTGTCCAAGATCCCAGAGGGGGAAGCCGTGACCTCGGCCGAGTTCCGGATCTACAAGGACTATGTCCGGGAGCGCTTCGACAATGAGACCTTCCGGATCAGCGTGTACCAGGTGCTGCAGGAGCACCTGGGCAGGTGGGTGCTGGCCAGGGATGGAGTGGATAGGCCGAGACCATCTTGATGGCTCCTACCAGGGAGTGGTGTCTTTGTTAAAGTAGGTGTATGTGGTGTGATGCTGTTTGCCCTGAAATCTGGGCAGGACTAGGCGGGGACAGGAGGCGCCAGGACCTGTGCCGTGTGTGGGGATAGGTGGTTCTGTTCGCATGCTCAGGAGCATAGAGAGAGGGAAGAGTCAGGGTCCAGGGTACCCCGTGGTCCCTCCCCCCCACAGTAGAGCCCCATGTGATGCCTGGCAGCCGATCAAAGTGGCATTTGTAATTAAATGTTAGGAGGGAAAAATCCCAAACCAAAAGCAAACAGCAGAGAACTCACAGCTGTGCAAGAATCACTAGCAAGGTGAGGTACCAACATTGGGGGGACCCATGTGTTTCTGGAGGTGGTTTAATGCCAGGGACTGTGAAAGGCTAGTGAGTTAAAAACAAGTCTTGAGCTGGGAAGGTGGCTCCGTGGTAGAGCGCTTGCCTCGCATGAGGCCCTGGGTTCGATTCCTCAGCACCACATAAGCAGAAAAAGCTGGAAATGGTGCTGTGGTTCAAGTGTTAGAGCGCTCGCCTTGAGCTGAAGAACTGAGGAATGGCGTCTAGGCCCAGAGTTCAAGCCCTACAACGGATCAGAAAAGAAAAATAACAACTTAAGTCTGAGGAGACTAAATGGCCAGTGTCGTGTTTCTCTGTGGCTGGACTTTGGGACTGCATAAATCTTGGCTTTTTTTGGACTGGTCCTGGGGCTTGAACTGAGGGCCTAGATGCTGTCTCTGAGCTTCTTTTGCTCATGGCTAGTGTTCTAACACTTAAGCCACAGCTCACTTCTGGCCTTTTCTGCATAGTTTATTGGAGATAAGCGTCTCGTGGACTTTTCTGCCTGGGCTTTGAATTGCAATCCTCAGATCTCAGCCTCCTGAGTAGCTAGGATTACAGGCGTGAGCCCCTGGCAGCCAGCGATCATGCCACTTTTATTGTCCCCAGTGGTGTGCTGTGGCAGTTGTTAGGAGCTGGTTGGTCTTTTCCTACAGGATGGAGACTCAATAGCTGATGGGACAGGGAACCCCGCTATGTTAGGGGGGTGCTCATCTTGATTACCAAGATAACAGAACTTAGATAGAGTATCGCCAGTGTTTTGAATGTGTCACCTTGAATGTCATCTTGAATATAGCTGCCTCACCTCTGCGGACTGTGAAACTGTGAAACAGGCAGAGTTGGCGTGGTCTAGAGCCACGCACACAGCCATGTGACCCGGCTCAGGAAGCTGGAAAAATTCATATTTAAAAAAAGAATTTCCTTGGGCTGGGAAGGTGGCTCAGCGGTAGAGTGCATGCCTTGCAAGCATGAGGCCCTGGGTTCGATTCCTCAGCACCACATAAACAGAAAAGGCCGGAAGGGGCGCTGTGGCTCCAGTGGTAGAGCGCTAGCCTTGAGCTGAAGAGCTGAGGGACAGCGCCCAGGCCCAGAGTTCAGGCCCCATGACTGGCAAAAAAAAAAAAAAAGAATTTCCATGCAGAACTTGGTTTGGAGGGCTGGAAATGTGTGGCTCAGTGGTGGAGCGCCTTCCCTGGTCAAGGGCAAGGTTGGGGGCTCACCCCCCAGTCCTGGCAAAGGGGAGAAAAGCTCAGTTGTGGATAGGCAAGGCACATTCGCAGAATAAAACTGCACAAATGAAGGCTGACTCCTCCTATGAGGCCCCTAGCCTGCCCGCCCTGGGCAGCCTGAGCTCTGCTGGGTTTTGTGTGTTTTGAATCTGGGGGCTTAAATTCAGGGCCTCACCCTCTTGCTTGGTGTGTGTGTGTGCCTGGGTGTGTGTGCACACACCAGTCCCGGGGCTTGAAAGTGCCTGGATGCTATTCCTGAGCTTTTGTAAAAGCACAAGGCTAGTGCTCTACCACTTACGTCACAGCTCGCTGTAGCTTTTGCTGGTTCATTGAAGGTGAGAGTCTCATGGGCTTTTCTGCCCAGGCTGGCTTCGAGCCTCAATTCTCAGGTCTCAGCCTGCTGAGTAGCTAAGCTTACAGGCGTGAGCCGCTGATGCCTGGCCTGCACCCCATTTCTTACTCAGCAGGTTTATTTGTCTGCTCGTCCATTCCATGGTCAGTGGCACTGACCGTTTCCTCCTGCCCCGTTCCTTCATGCCAGCCTCGCCTGTCCTTCCTGTCTTGTGCTTTTTAGACTCCGCAGAGCCCCGTTGTGTGGTTGTGTGGGTGTGTGGGTGTGTGGGTGGGGTATCTCACCCGATGCCCACGAGCACGTGGTGGCTTCTCCGTTCTGCTAGTGTGGACAGTGTCGTGGGTCTCAGTGACACACCTGGGTGTGTCTGAGGCCCTGGACGTAGCCTAGTTGGCCAGGGCCTCACCTATTGGTGGCTTTGGTAGGGACAGCTATGCTGTTTCTGCACCCCTTGTGTCTCCCCCTCCCCCTCCCCCACCAAATGTGGCTGTGTGTTCTCTTCCAGCCGATGGCCTCCCTGCTGTCCAGGCCTCTCTGGCAGCCCAGTGCCCTTGCCACTGTCTTCTGTGTAGCCACCCTGGTATCCGAGTGGAGGGAGCTGTGGTCTTGCGGTCACCCGCCGCCCAGCTGTCCAGGGCCAGGACATCTGGCTGTTGGGCAGAGCCTGCCGGAGCTCTGGGAGGCCGGGGTGCCGGGGCAGCCCCAGGGCCTCTTCCCCTGGAGCATTACTTTCCACCAAGTCCTCTTGATCTCTCAGAATCCAGATTGAATTCCGATAATGAGCTGAGCTGGAGGCCTTCCACAGCCCCGGGCACTCCTTCAAGCCCAGCCGGGGAGCCGCCCTTGGTGGGCTGAGGGCCAGCGTGGGGCTTCGCTGAGGTGGAGGGGAGGTGTAGTGAACGGATAGCAGAGTCTCCCTCTCCTTTTCTGAACCCTGGGCGGGAAGCCGGGCCAGCTGGGGCCCAGCCTCCCGAGGCCGCCTTCCCTCTGTCCTGTGGACAAGCAGCAGGCCCAGGGGAGGGGTCGGACAGACCCCGGCCCCTGCCCAGTCCTGCAGCTGGGATCGGACGCTTTGTCCTCCGTCTCTGCTGTGTCCCAGGACAGCTCCCCTGGCTGTGCTTGTGCTCAGAGCCCCGGAAGCCAGGCCTCCATCCTCGTCACCACCGAGGTCGCGAGGATGTCAGCGACTGAAAGAGAAATGTCCCCTGGTCTGTCACAGGGACTCTGGTTGCCAGGAGGGTGACCTCAGTGTGCCGGCCGTGCCAAGACCCAGGTCAGCTGCGGCCTGAGTCACTCGGAGGCCGAGGGGGCTGCGGTCCCGCCCGGCCCCGCAGGAGCGGCTCACAGCCCCTCTCGGTCCGGTCCAGGCCTGTGTTCCTGTGCCTGGGCCGTCCTGGTTGGGGCAGTGCTGCAGCCGGCCGGCCCAGCCAGCGGCCTCCCCTGCCTCTGGGAGGCCTCGAGGCCCCCCCAGCCTCCTGGGCACACACCTGCTGTAGCTCAGCTTCCCACCCCCTTGAAGACTTCAGCTCTGTTCCCCAGCGAGGGGCTGGAGCAGGAGGGAGCCAGGCCGGGCCTGTGTTCGGGCTCCGCTCCCAGAGGCCACACTGCTGGGTCTCACCTGCTTCCAGGAAGGTGCTGGTGACGTGGTACTTGGCTGAAAGGGTTTGCACTTGCCTGCAGTCCCTGTGTCCCTAAGGCCACAGGGTGACCCAGGGGGGATGGGACCCTTCCCCCCGCCCCTGCCCTGCCTTTCCCCAGCCTTGCAGAGGGCTTGAGTGTGGCCTGGGTGACTTTAGTCACGGAGCACATTGGAGCAGAGGGACATGGACACTGCCTCCCACCTGCGGAGTCAGTGGCTGGGGAGATAATGCCCCCCTCCCAGAGACCCTGGGGCCGCGGGGAGGCCCAGTGCTCTTCTTTCTGAACACCCTAAAAGCCAAGACAGTGGCTCTGATGTAAGCAACGCCCCCATGACCCTGGAGTGGACCCGTGCGGGGACAGGTACCCTCCCCTTGGGGAGCGGGGACAGTGGGCCAGGAGAGACCCCAGGAGCCGACATCAGGCTATGGATTTTCTGGGTCCCACCAAGAAGTTTGCACCCTGGCGTCTGGGTTGGGGCTGACACCAACCTGCCAATAGCTCAGAGGCTTTGCCTGTCTCCCCCTCCTGCCCCGCCCCCCCGCTGCACTCTCGCTTTCAAATGCTTTGCCTCATAGTTTATTCAGGGGCAGAAGGTGAGGGACCCCGCACCCCTGGATGGCAGCCCAGCGCGCAGTTGCTTCCTGTTCCCCTCCTCCCCTGGCTGGGCCTTGGTGGGCGAGCAGAAGAGCTCCAGCTGGGCTCTCTGCTTTGGTCGTGCATGAAAATCGGTTCAGCTGATTGTTTAGGATCCATCTGTCCGCCCAGCTCATTGGGCTGAACGGAGCATTGGTGTTAGTCGGGATCTCCCAGGCTGTCCTCTGTGTGCTGGGCTAAAGCTGGTGGCCGAGACCTCGTCCGGTCTCCCCAGAGCTGGAAGGAAGGGGATTTCTTTGGGCTCAGCCCATTGTATTACCTTGGGCCTGTTTTCTTTGAGACTTTTACTTCCTGCAGGACTCAGCCCAAATTGTGGTCCAGACCTGGATTGTCAGCCTTAGCCACACACGAAAGGAACTGGCTGGGGGTGGTGCTGCCTTCAGGCTCAGGCGACTTCTGGAAGCTTCTGGAAGCGTCTTACGGCTCCTGGAAGCCTACGTGCTGGGTTCCACATCTCCTGGCGTTCACTCCTTGCTGCTGCACCTCAGCCTCAGGGTGTGAGCTGCCTTGGAGCTGCTTTCTCAGGATGGACCAGCTCAGCTCCCCTGGGAGCCCCCTGGAGAGCAGGAGGGGGAAGCTGGCGGCCACAGGGCCAGCACGTCCCCAAGGGCCGAGGATTGGCGGCCTGGGTGCCCCCTTCAGCCCTCTCCCTGGTCCTTACTCCACAGCCCGGATCTCAGGCCAGGCAATACCCCTCAGGGCCTCTCGGTTCCTCTGGGACCC